AATTATAAGTTTCTGAGAATATCAACTTATATTAGTAAAACCACTATCCCGCTATTATATTAAATACTGTCACTATTTTGCATGTCCTTTTGTCCCATTGTTTGTTTAATCAAAACTAATTTCTCATCATTTTAAACTTATTTATTGATCTATTATATATCAATTTATTGAGAGACGATGAACATGATTAGTTATAGACCTTTATATTTAAATTTTGTGCGAGATTGTCAACAACTTTGCTCTCAAATCTTATTTTGTGCATGAAATTGAAAATATAACTAATGGTTATGACTACCCACTTATGGTAATCTAATTGAATCTGACATAGCTCTAACAAAAAGTTAAGACTCTTCTAGCCAATGTAGAAGATAAAATGTCACCCCAATAAGTAACTCCCTTTCTAAATTGACAAGACAATTGTTGATAGTTCTCTTTTCTATGTAGATTTAAGACGATCTCAAACTACTAACAATCATCAAAAAATATTAGCAACCTCTCAAATTGTGTGAACGAACACCACCTTGAGACCTAACTTGGAGGTATCTATCTTAACTTCCAAAATCTGTAAAAAATCAGGCAAAACTAGACCAAGGAATGTTATGACAACCTTCAGTTCCTAGAATAACTTCTCGACTTTCGCATTCTAATAAAATAGGTGATTCATGAGTAGTTGAGTTAGAGATCAAGGAATAAACCGATAACTTACAATAAATTGTTGATAATTACTGGTAAGTCACATAAATATGTTTAGCTCTCAAATATTTACTAGAAGCAACCATTTTTGCATAACGTTTAGGCTTCCACAGTAATTTCTAACACCTAATATCCTACATACTCAATCCTTAATTACCTAATCAATGATTTTTTGACATTGATGTGGACTTAATAATCTTTAAGGCCCAATAATACCTATTTCAAATGTTGGTTGTAGTTTTTTTAGCCACCGTTATAGATTACAATGCTATAAAAACTATGAGAAAAAATTAGAGAAAATTTAAGAGAGCCTGATTTATTAGGGATTGACAAGTAGTTAGGGCATTAGTGAAGCAAAAGTGTCACCAAAAATTCATAGTCTTCATGGGTTATGAAGGCCATCTTAAGAATGTTATCATCCTTTTATCTAGATCATATATTAGTCATATTTTAAGTTTAAATTAGAGAATATGGTGTCACCATGCAACTTGTTAACTCTTTTATGCACCACTTTTATCTATTGAGCATTTGATGATCCAAACAAGTGTCCACTTTCATTCATTTTCTTTATAAGTAAAATTAGGCCATAATAAAAACCAGTAAAATGTTGTATAATACACATTGTGCACATCTCTCATACTAAGCACTTGTTCTCGCTTTTTTAATAATATGGATCTGGTTAAGGTTAAACATTAATGAGCTTGGTTCTTGATGCTAACTATTTAATGTGTCTCATGTCGTGAGTAGGTGACATGCCAATAACATGACTAAATGTGATTGAAAATTTATCACATAGTTGATCTTCCAAAATTGAGATGCCTCAATGACCTTGACCTATTATTTTATTAATTGCTTAAAAAACTCTACCATCACTCCTTTATAGTGACCTTGAACCATTGCCTTTGAGTAAAGTCTACATCTATAAAAATGTGGGTCTCACTTTAAGATTTTCATCAAGTTTCATTGAGTGAATTTCATTGTTAATTAACCCTAATTTACCCCAATCATTTCGAACTTCTATGATTAATGTACATTGAGCATCATGTTTGTGGTGTTAATTAGAGGGCAAATAGGTTTTTGATCAAAAACAATATTTGCATCTCCATGATTAATCCCTGACACATTCATTTTCTTTTCATCACTAGTCTAATGTCTATAATTACACTATAATTACTAGTTGTCAATATGGACAATTGTCTCTTCCATCATATCTATTGAAATTAAATTGTGTGTGCCCCCAAAATCAACTAGAAGTGTGACCTCATGTGGTCCTAATGTTACTTTAAACTTCAGTGTCAATTTTTTTCATGCCCATGATTGAATTCAATAATAATTCAATATTATCGATCATTTATATTTCTTTCTTCACATTTTGTAGTTTAATGAAGTCTTTCAATTTTTGTTTCTCTATTTCTAACCCAGCTCAAATATTTTTTTATGAATTAATAAAAAAATTAATTCTCATTTTCTTATATGACCAAGGTTGTGAATCTTGCTAGAGTAGAGATCCATGAACAACAACAAAAAAGTTTGTATTTTTTTGTGACAAAAAAAGTTCAGCCTCAATTATAGATCAAGATGAATGTCCAACTTAAATGCATTCACCATCTTTGAGTCCTTAGTTGACCCTTTTAACCTACTATTGTATTGTTTGTAAGATTGAATGTTTCCATTACCCTTTGTACTCTACCAATATCTTCCTCTTGATTTCATCTCTTGTGGGGTTTTTGTCAATACTTTTTTTTTACCCTTATATTCCATGTGCTTGTTAGATGCCCATGTGCCTATTGCTCATTCCTTTGCTTTAAGAGTTAGGCTACACCTTGAGTTTTCTCCAGGTTCTACTCTATCATGAAGAATCTTTCTACTGAAAATCTCTATAGGTAGTCTTGTATCTCTAAAAGACTCAATATGTGGCTTTCCACATCAGGGAATCATGGTAGCCCTTCCCACATCTTGAGAAGTTGCCATAGCTATTCATACACTCTTCCATTTCTTTATTTAGATTTTTCAATTGTCCATTTGTGAGCTTAGGTGGCATCCATCTCCATGAAATCTCAACTTTGATGCCAATTTGATAAGACAACAATACCACTAAGAGAAGAAGAAAATGATATAATTGAAACTAATAGAACAAAATGAGAACAAGACAAACAAGAAGGAGATTGTAGATGGAATCCCTAAGTTGCATCAATAACCTTTTGAAAGGGTTATAATTCCCCCCCAAACCCTAATGTCTTGATATCCACTCTCCTTCTCTCATTTCCTCCTTTTTTTTTCCATCTCCTCAATAGTATTATAAAAAATCCCTTATGGTTTAAACTTTGTCTTCAGCCCCTCCATCATATGTAGTAGATGTTGGTAGCCTACTAGCTATCTTCATTTATAGATTTTATCAAATGATATAAAAATTTATTTATTACTTGTGTTGCTCTAATTTAATAAAATTAAATCAATATCTAATTATTAACATTATCTATAGTAGTTTTTTGTGGTTTTGTATGAAACAATTTATAATTTCTGTGTATTAGCTAATGGTGAGTGGTTATGTATCTAGATTTGATAAAATCATGGATCTCTATTGTAGGTTGGAACCATCAAGATAAGTATGAATGTAATCTTTATGTAAAACCCAATGAGTTTACTTTGACAATTACAAAGCTACAACCTTTGAAATGATGTGTTTGTTTTTTTATGATTTGAGATGAATAAATAATGACTTTTCGTGCCACAAAAGTCTAAATATGAAACAATACATTAAGTTCTAGTGTTATAAAGTTATAAATAATAGAAGACAACATAATTCATAGTACAACATGTAGAAATTTGATCCTAAAGTAAGGTGTTGACCTTAAGAGCAAGATAAAAATAAAGGCAAAATAAGTGTTGACATTAGAAAGCTAGAATGAGTATTTTTATACATGACCATGTTGTGCCTTGTAGAGAGTTGTTAATGTAGGACCATAATAAATGGAAAATGGCCCAAAAGATCGCTTCTGGCGACTAGCTTCTATCGCTTCAATCAATGGCTAAAGCTACCTTGAATGAATGAATGAATGAATGAATGATTTGGAACCTCCATGAGAGGACAAGTTGGTTCGAGGACCCGTTGGTCAAAGGAAAGGGGAGGTCCAAATTCCGGGGCAGAGCAAGTGTAATAATTAATGATTATTTCTTGAAAAAGTGCAAAAATTGTAGACTTAGATGTCAATTAAATTAACAAAGTTTTTCTACATGTGGTATTGTAGATGAAATGAGGAAGGGGGCAAAAGCACAAATAAGTGACTTTTTCCAAATAAACCAAGAAAAGCTCCATAATTTAAAAGGACCCAAAAGACTAGTTGCTGAAAGCAATGGCTTATGAGGGAGTATTTGGAGGGGGTTTAAATGACCATTAGAATTGTTGATGGCATTTAAGGTCTGAAACATTATTTTAAGGTTGTGATATATTATTTTCGTATAGTAAACTTTTACGGGGGACTTTAAAACAAATGTAAAAAAGATACTTGCGACCTCTTGGGCATATGATTAGATATGAAATCTTGCAAGGGTTCTTCTGTAAGAGCAAGGAGAAAGGGCAGCAAATCCTCGTGGAGCGTTCCTCTCCTCGGAAAAACTATAATGGAGCTCTGTTAACCTCCGAATCTGCCGTCTCCTCGGCCCTCTCCGTCTGCCTGCCCTCGTCGCATTCCTACGCCCAGTCAATCTCGGCAGTCAATTCCAGCCGTCGACTCAGCTGTATGCTCTGCGATTGCTCCCAGTTCATCCGGCGTATCCAGAGATGTTCTCCTTGAGGTGGGGTTTCTGGGGACTGTCTTCTATTGTCCGCGTATAGACGCTGTCTATTCACCTTTAGGTTCTTCTCTGTGGGATTGTGGTGGATCCTTGTGATTGTTTTGATCGTCGTATTGTGCCCTCTGTGCTCTGGTGACTGGTGGCCTTTTTCTTGTTGTGCTTTTGGTTGCCGTGGCGGCTACAGGGGCTTTTGGAGTAGACACAGGAAGAAAGTATTGGTCACCTTGGGCGCTCTGGGGACTGGCTATGCGGTGTACAGGTTCTATGCTTCTCATAGGCAGAGGGTCCTGGACTTGGGACGGCAGTATGAAGCGGAGCGCCGAACTGAGGAGATCGTTAAGGCCCAGTAAGACTCCTGATGTTGTGGTCGCATTCTTTCACGAGAGGGTGGTGGCTGTTTTCCACCGAATTCCTCTTTTAATTTGACTTTTCCTTTCACTTTGGTTGTCAGATTGCAAGCTCATTTCCAAAACATTCAAAGAATATCAGACACCACGACATTGCCTTACGCGATGCATTGTCTTCGGAATCGAATATCTGAGGAGCTGGACCTTTCATATTTGACCGACAAGTTAATGAAAGGGAAAGGGCAGCCCCATATTCTCACTCCTAATGAAAAAGTTGAGCTGTGGGAGAGGCTCAAGATATTAAGTACGCCTATCTTTATATTTTTTGCTTCAAATGTACTCGTTGTAAATGATAAGACTTTCGATATCTCGAGATTTTTTTCTCATGTTGCGATTTTTTTAATCCATATTGAGCCTTCTATTAGTCATATGTTTTTTTGAGAACAACATGCTTTTCCTTCGTAAATGAGAGCTATTGTCATTAATAGTGGTAATCTTGTTCTGTCTCTCATATAACTTTCTCAATGCCTTCTTGTGTAGGTTTTACAAGAACAGCATCGTCATTGTGGGCAATGACTATGCTCTGCTTGTTTGTAAGGGTTCAGGTTAACATTTTAGGAAGGCATTTGTACTTTGAGACCGCTCGTCTCTTTGGAAGTTCTCAATCATCAGTAAGAACGTTTGTAATCTCTGATGTTCTTTTTATTGAGCTTATCCATTGGTTATTAATTTCAAACTTGATGTGATCACATGCTCTGTCCTTGTTTATTTCTTAATGTAAAATGAAGTTTCCAATTGAAATAAGTTATTTTTTTTTAGTTTCCCTTTTATGTGACATGGTTTTCTGTTTAATTTAGCAATGGTTGCTACTATTACATTTTTAATTATGATTTCAGATTGTCATTGATCCAAAACAGTGTTTGCCCAGCTCTCAAGCTTCTTATGTAAAGGTGCCTCTCACAGTACCCAACATTGTCCGAAATTTTTACAATAGCGTATTCCCTTATAAAAATAATTTTGATCCCCAGTTGATTTGTAAAGTCAATAACATATTTAAGTGATAACTTGATTTAGTCGGTACCACTAAAGTGAAGCAGATTCAATATGTGAACTGTCAAGATTGTTGTCATTCAAACAAATTTGAAACTATTGGGTTACTGAAATATTAGCTTATGCTTTGAAAAGCCCTTACACATATTGTCCCATGTTTAAACTGCTCATTGACATAGAGGACCATAGGAGGTTATGAATATTTGACTTAAAAATGTTCAGAATGGATGTTGAAGATCGAGGGCATGCTACTGTATTGTTCAATGATGTAGGCCATGTCTAGTGGACACTAGTGTGGATGGAAGTTTCTAATTATGTATCTTTTTTAAAGAAAATAGCAAATGGGAGTACATCCAAGCTTGGTGTCTCTAAATATATTAGAAATGGCTCACTTCAATTTATTTTGCATGAAGTAATAGTACCGGGTGTGTGCTTTTTAAGGTCAGCATTTCCATCAACTGTGTTTCTGACTTAACTTAAACTTACCAATCGGACATGTATCCAAGTTATTAGTGCTGATGTCGACATTGGCAAAATTGTTGATGTTTCCCATTGTATGTACTCCCTTAAATAGCGTATGATTCAGATTCTTTTTGATATAGCAGGAGACCTTTGTGACAAGGAAAGAGGTCTAACTCCGATTTTAACTTCTCTTGCTTTAAAAGCTAAGCTTATCCTCTCCTTGGTTAAGAGGTTGATATTATCCATGGAAGATATTCTTGTTTTACCATCCTCATACAAAGATTGCCTACTATGTATGTTTTGGAACGATAGTTTCTAGTAGTCTATTTCTACTTGGTTGTTTTTCTTATCTGACTTGAGCTTGGTTGTTTTTCTAGGCTTCTTGTATGCTTTCTTTCTTGAAAGTCGTGACACCTCTGCATAGTTATCCATCTGTATGGTGACCGGTTGTTGGATTGGTTTTTCAAACATGTCTGTAATTGGTATCTCAATGTCAAAGAGAGTGGTTTTTCATCTGTCAGTTGCTTAAGTCATGCCTATTTCTCTTGTCACTCTGCTTGTTAATCTTAAGTAAATTTTGATGTCAATTGATTGATGTGTCCATTGGTATTGAAAAAAGAAAGTATGACTCGCAATGTGAATTTGTTATAAACTTCAACCTGCATTTGCTTTTGGAGTATAACTTAAGTGAACATACTCTTGTGCTGATAGTTTTGTGAGTATTTGTTGGCGGGTATGGTCAGTAGACTGTTGGATAGGTGGGTCTTGCTTTAATGGGGTTTGTACAAAATCCCAAGCTAAGCCTCCATTCTGTTTCAGGTATTTTTACATGACCAAAGAAGGATATTTTCAGTGAGATTGGGTTTCATACAATGATCTAAATGCTGGCAACAAATGCTACTCCATTGGTCCTTGGTGAAAAAAAGTGTTTGAAAGATAACATTGGAACATTCGTTTTCATTCAAATCTCAGTGACCACACTTCTTTAATGCTTAAAATGCTCTGTTTGAGAGGCATAAGTTAGGACTTGGAGCCCATTGGATCCACGACATAGTTTTTACCCTTATTACGCCTCAATTATTTCGTAAACCACACTTTAAGAGACAACTCTGACTTGACACTCGATTATCCCACGAGCATCAAGCTCCTTCATGAAGTAGCTTGCTCAACAGTGACCATTTTTTAAATCGCACAGAATATTGCTCAATAGTTGCAGTAGATTGATCATCAAACTTGTTGGCGTAAAAATCAGAGGGATGATTAATCACTTCAGGCATTCTCATGTGGTGGAAACGTGTCAATACACAGATTCTAAACCATGTGTGCATCTTGCATTTGGATGCTCTAGACATTAAGTGGTTACTCGTTTTGAATAGTGGATCACAAAAAGTGAGGATTATTATAGAGGATCTTGTATGAGAGAATAACTGTGTGATTGTCCAGTTATATTTATTTATGGATAATGTTCACGTTTTTATCAGCTTGGGGGAAGTGGCTAATTTATTTACATTCTAATGAGGCTCCTGCTATCGGACGAACTTGCATATTGTTTCAAGGTAGACCCCATCTGCTGAAAAGGTGATCAGTTTTGTTGATGAGATGGAGAGTGAGGTGGTGAGGCTTCTTTTTGATGAGAAGGACATGAATGTCCTTTTTGATTTTCGCCTATGGTCCTGATGTCAGTGAATTACTTTTTTTCCATCCTTGTCAAATAGAAAATAATCTTTGCCGGTTGGGTTCTATCTAGGCCATAATAATGCTTGGTTCAAATAGAATTCTAGCCCGGCTGGGCTTATTTTCTGTTTGGAAACATTAGTGTGGAGAAAATTGGCTCATTGTTACCTAGACCATATTGAGGTAGAAACCTGTGACCTGTTTGTCTTTATCCTCCCCGTCTTGGTTAGGTGGATGCAAAGTGCTTGGCCTGGGTATGTAGTAGTTTGGAAGGATACGGTTGGGGGTTTCTCCCTGGGCAGTGTCTGGGGCCTTGTTGTACATGCCTGTGCTCTCAGTTTGCACTAGGCACAATGTGGGCTCAGCCCAGACTGTAGACACCTCTCGTTTCAGGTCTGTGGCCCTTTTATTTTCTGTTTGCGCCCCTCTCTTATAAACAATGATGATATTTCCCGTTTTATTTTTTCACTGCTCTAGATTGCAGTTCAAAGTTAGTTTTTATGCAGATGACCTTCTTGTCCTTCACTTTTTGGCATTTCTTTTCTCATAAAATTTCTTATCTTCTTGAGGAGATTCTTTGCTCGTTTCTCCACATATTACTTGAAATGCTAAATTATTGATATTTAGATATTCTGGTGACATATGTTTGAATCTTTGCTAATTTGTCTTTAATGTTCTTAGTTTACAGAGTTGTGGTTGAATCAGAACATTTTAATTTCTGTCTTGCAGGATCAAGGGAAGCCATTAGATAGACATGGTGAAGAAGAATTTCTGTCGGCAGCTGATTATCTATGTAATTGTGGCATTAGCGCATTGATAGTGAAAATGCAGAATGCGGTAACTGAAGTTATGAAAGAGTGAGTGAACTCATTTATGAAATTCGTATCCATTTTCACTGAGAATTCTAGGGGAACTGTTCTTGGTGTTTAGCAGGACCATTCCTCCCCATATTCATTTTCTGTTAATAATACGATTTTTTTAACTGCAGAAATAATATTTTTAATTTAAAATTTTTTAATCGATGTAATAAATTATTTCCTATTAATTTTCACTGGCAGTAAACAGCTGAGAAGTCCCTTCAACGTGGACCAATTACATGGAACGATGTTGCAGATATTAAATCTATTTATGAAATTGGAGGCACCAGATTCTTGGCTGGCATGCTTGATACCTGACAATGCCTCTCAGTATCAACAGCTGGCGGTCATTTCTTCCAATGGCTCTGATGATCCTCTAGTGTTCATGGATGTTTTGAAGCTTGAGCAGCTGATGAAAGAGACCCGTGATGTGATGTCAAGGTATGTAGTTTTTTCCTTACATCGGTAGCTCAAAGTTCCTTTGCTTGTGTGCAGTGTTTTTTTATATTGAGACGCTTGATGTTTCATACCTAATTATCGGATATTCTGTTTCTCGACCAATTAAGATTCTTTTCTCAAAATGAGTATACCTTTATGTATTGAGAAATTTTAGAGCCTAGTCTTTAATGCTGTTCAAGTCGTTTCCCTTTCAGTTTGAACATTTTTTTCTTTTTCTTTTGGTTATATGTTTCTTACCACTGGGCAATATTTTTTACAGTTCTGACTTTAGAGACATCATGGAAATATCACTGAGAAGGGTCCTGGATCACTTAGTTGAGGACATTGGTGTGCATGTTGGTGGTCCTGATACTGGAGTTCCGTTAGCAAAGCTATTGCCTCGTGTTGTTCACGTTAGTCCATCACTGCTGGAGGACCCAAGCACCAACAAGTTTGTTCAGATGATCAGAGCTTTGCCGGAGGTTGAATTGTTCTTCAAGCTCCTATATGCCAACACAGCTCAGGCTTAAAAAGTTGCAAAACCCAATGGCCCAGAAATGGGTTCAGCGGAGTACGAAGCATTGCCCAGGAGCCTGGACTGTGACAATAACAGAGATGGCCTCTTTGCGGTGGAGGTGGGAGTCATAGATACGCTACAGATTAATAGCCCATCTGCACAAGTACAGAAGCATGATGAAAAAAGGAAGAATCTGTTTGGTTTGAAACCCATCCCTCTTGCTTCTACGGGCTTCAATGTGAGATTTTTTCTTACTTCATAAAGGCGGACGTTGAGGTTCCAACTCTCTGGACAGGCAGTTCATAAGTTCGGTTTGAGCTTGCAATGGAAGAGAAATCCTCATGTAAAATGGCATCGAACCACATATCATGGCCCCTCTGTTTATGAAAGGAGGTGAAGCTTTACTGTTGTTTGATGTCTTTTTAAGTATTTCGGGCCAGTCTCTGTTTGATGTATTTTTATCGGTTGAAGAGTCTTTCCTGGTGTAAGATGTGTCTCATGTCAGCCCCTTCTCCCTTCTCGTCACAAAGTTCTCTAGACTACTGCCTCTGTTCAGATACGATGAGCCAGTTCGGTAATGCTTGTCACGAACAGGAGGATGAAGACCCCTGCTATCTTTGGATTGGTGTGTCCCTTAATTATACTTTGTTTTTCTTCCTTTTATTTTTTCGGCTTTTGAGCCCCCATATTCATGTGCACCTGTATGAAGTGTGATGCTACTGATGTTGGATGTGCAGCTCGCCCTCATCTTACTTTGTTGATTTAATGGGGCGGTGCCTAATGTTTCTGGGCGAGTTCTGTTCTGTGCTTTGACCTGTGAATTGACTTTTGCTTATTATGGTGGGTTTGACCAGAAGATAACAGGCACTTGTGTGGTGTGTTTCTTGACCATATGGAAGTGTCTGTTGATGAGGCATTGATCATTTGAACAAACAGATGTGAAGGGGGTCTTTTATGTGATGCGGGTTGTGAAATGGCTCTCTTGGAGTGGCCTATTTTTCATTTTGTTGCACAAATTCTTCTCGAGTAATTTATGCCATCTGATATACATTTTTTAATAATGTCTAGCTTCCTTGTTGCATATTTTGCTTTTGGATAGATATATGCTTGTGGTTGTGTGCTGTTTCAAGTAAAAATAAATAAATAGGCTTTGGGCTTAGAGCTTGTGTGCCAAAAACCTGACCTATTCTTCCTCTTCAAGCACTCGTCCAAGACTAGGCTCACATGTTGACTTTTGTGCGAATGGAGTCTGGGCTTAGATCTCTTCTGATTTCTATATTATTTTCAATTTATTACTAAAAATGGAAAAAACCATCCAAGATAGGCACCATGTTACAACGATCAATAAGTCTTACTGACATCCTTCTGATCCACAGTAAGTCTCCTCCAATTATGTCAAGATCATTCCTCAATGGTACTTTGACTTCAATGGCAGTAATGCAGGAACAAGTCTTCGTTCCAATAACGATCAATCTGATGGGGCAACCATGGTGGTCTCCGAAGAAGATAATTTAGGCTTTTAGTAAAACCACGGCGAGCAATATATGGAGATAAAGTGTTGTCATTTACCTTGTGAATAATAAATATTTCCGTACATAGAAAAATCGATTTTCATTTTTACTAGATAAAGAGTGGATTCCCTTTGATCATTTTTATTTTCATCGATTTTGGAATTATGTGGTGAGCCGGGGGGGGGGAGTTTGGGGTCATGATAATCATCAAGTTGTGCATCTATTGGCTTTCCTGGAAAGGAACCAGAAGAAAAATAAATTCTTTATCAGATAAGGAGAGGGGGTACGCTCTCGTCACGGCAGCTGGCGTGCCCACAAGATCTTGGCCTTGTGTGCGCAGAAGCAGCACGTTCCTATCTGGCCTGCCACGGATTCGCCGCCGCTATCGCCCTTTCCGACGCGATACGGTGTCTGCCCTTCTCCCTCTTTGTTCTTCTCCCTAGCGAAGGGATTGGGGAGTGAGTGATTGGTTCTTCTTCGGCGGCAGCGAAGTCAACTTCCAAAGGTTCTTGATGCTCGCCCGGGACGAATCGTAGCCTGGTCTAGGGTTTCCCCACCCAAATCTAGCGGAGCCCTTATCGCCATCTGCTCCGGCAATTTCCGCTATTGAAGATGATGGCGGCGGCGTTGGCGGGTGGGTTTCAGTCGCCGCCGCCGGAGACGATGAAGGGGAATGAGAACGTGGTGAGCGCGGTGGTTCCTTTGATGAAGCTCCTGAGCTTGACGGTGATCGGTCTCGTCCTCGCCCACCCGAAGACCCAGATCGTCCCCAGGGCGACCTTCCGGCTTCTGAGCAAGCTCATCTTCGCCCTCTTCCTCCCCTGCTTGATCTTCGTCCACCTCGGGGAGTCCATCACCCTGAGCAGCGCCCTCCTCTGGTGGTTCGTCCCCGTGAATGTGGTCCTCAGCACCGCCGTGGGCTGCGCCCTCGGCTACGCCGTCGCCCTGCTCTGCCGGCCCCCGCCGGAGTTCTTCCGCTTCACCGTCATCGTCACCGGCTTCGGCAACACCGGCAACCTCCCCATTGCCATCATCGGCTCCGTCTGCCACAGCTCCGACCACCCCTTCGGCCCCGACTGCCACCGCATCGGCATCGCCTACGTCTCCTTCGCCCAGTGGGTCGCCGTCATCCTCGTCTACACGCTTGTCTACCACATGATGGAGCCCCCCATGGAGCACTACGAGATCGTCTCCGTTGCAGAGGCGGGGCCGCCGGACGAGGAGGAGATTGCGCCGGCGGCGGTGGAGGAGGTCACCTGCAACATCAGCAGGCCGCTGCTGCATGAGGCTGAGTGGCCGGGGATGGAGGAGAAGGAGACGGTGCACTGCAAGACCCCCTTCATTGCCAGGGTCTTCGCCAGCCTTTCCGGGTCCTCCCAGAGCTACTTCCCCGACGTCGACCTCTCAGAGGAGGACGGCGGCGCCGGCGGCGGAAGCAGCAGCAGCCCGAAGTCGATCCGGTGCCTGGCGGAGCCGAGGGTGGTGAGGAGGATGAGGACAGTGGCGGAGCAGACGCCGATCAAGCACATCCTGCAGCCGCCCACCATCGCCTCACTTCTGGCCATCGCCGTCGGCATGACGCCGGCGCTGCGGAGCTTCGTCTTCGGCGACGACGCGCCGCTGGCTTTCGTTACGGACAGCTTGGACATCCTCGCCGCAGCGACGGTGCCGTCGGTGATGCTGATCCTCGGGGGGATGATGGCGGAGGGGCCGAGGACGTCGCGGCTGGGGGTGAGGACGACGGTGGGAATCCTGGTTGCGAGGTTGCTGGTGCTGCCGCTGGTGGGGATCGGGGTGGTAGCGGCGGCGGACAGGATGAACCTGCTCATCACCGGCGACCAGATGTACAGGTTCGTGCTGCTGCTGCAGTACACGACGCCCAGCGCCATCTTGCTGGGGGCCATCGCCAGCTTGAGGGGGTACGCCGTCAGCGAGGCCTCCGCGCTCCTCTTCTGGCAGCACGTCTCCGCCGTATTCTCCCTCTCTCTCTACATCGTCGTCTACTTCAAGCTGCTGTCCTACGTCTGAAGGAACCTCTCTCCAATCTCTCTCTCTCTCTCTCTCTCGCTATTGGATCATTAAGCCATCATCATTGCCAGTATCCGCATTTCAGAAAGTCAATCGTAATAGAGTCAAAGGATACGGACCCAGCTTCTCATCTTCTTCCGGCAGAGAGAGGTACGCAGCGGCCGGGCTCAGATCCTAAAAGGGGCTTCCTCCTCGGGCATTATTAAACTATCATCATTCTGGGGATCCGCATTAGGCAGAGAGTCAAACGCAACAGAGTAAGTCAACGGATAATAAGATCCTGAAAAAGGTTCGATTTTGATAGGATCACGCGGACATAAGGGAAGTCAACATCCGCAGTTGATTGCAAAAAAGGTTGTGGGATGACTCCCACGTGCCTGTGGCGCGCGTGCGGAGTGTTTCAGGGTTGTTTATTCAAATATAAATTTGAAAGGGTCTTTTTCTGTATATAAATGGTAGTTTTATGACTTGTCGGAAGAAAGTTTAACAGCAGCAAATATTAGAATTTTCCCTTCCCGGGTCGTAGGAGACGTTCGCCGGCGGAGGTGGCGAGATGAGGTCGGAGAAGCAGGCGGAGGAAGATCTCATGGCGAGAGCCGCAGTGGCGGCGGAGGAGCTTTACGACGTCCGCGACTCGTTCTTCCCTGCCGACCCCCTCGAGAAGGACTCGAGGCTCCGGGCACTTTCGGACGCGGCACTCCACCTCCTGGACGCCGTCCCCGAAGGTGGTCCTCCTCCTTAGTTCTACGACTCCAATCGAGGTTTTTTACTTCATTTAGCTGCTCCCGGTCATTGGTGGAGTTCTGTGACGAATACTCTTTCGAGCGATTGTATTGTATCCTTATTGTCGCATCGAGAGCACCCTTGGACCAATGCTAAGTCTGGAACTCCTTGGACGAATGATTCTATGCATTGGCGGGAAAGTGAAACCCTTGCAGTTGCATAAAATTTTTGATATATCTTTTTTTGGAAATAGATGTCTGTTGTCGGCATTTGGAATGTGTATTAACTTCTGCTGCATCATGTTTTACCATGATTACTGCATTAAATTTTACGTGATCTATTATAGTCTGGTAATATGTAAAATATTGATACATGTAAGCATTGCGTGGAGGGTGCTGTTGCAACTGTCAGAGTGCAGGGATGGTGCTGGTATTTTGTATTTTTGAATAAGTCTGCGTGATGGTTACACTTTAGTAGTGTCAATGAGCCGGAGCTAAAACATGTTGGCTAAGTAGTAAATCTGCCACGAAATAAGACTGTTAAGACATTCTGACACAAAGTTGAATGACTGCACTAAGACGGAAACAGATACTCCAAATTGTGAGCTTTCACTGCTGGCAGGCTTAGTGGGCTCTACTGATGAACGCCACTTCGAAGCTCATACAACGTAAATGATAGGAGCAGTGACGTGTTGCAACCTGGAGTGATGGCACACTCTTTTGGCAAACTGAACCACTGACACAGGCTAAAATTCTGTTTGGTGGACAACGTTCTCACTTTTCAGCAGCTAGCATCTCAAGCATTGCAGTAAGCAAATTGTGTCTAAAAACTCCATATTTTTTTATTTATCATTTGGAGTGTATTCTTTTTTTATACAAGTCTTTTTGAAGCTCATATTAACTTGATCCCCGTGATGATCCTTGAGAGTATTTGCTCCTCATAGTTTCTAAGTGAAAGCCTTTTAATGTAGGTGACGACAATTTCGCCAAAAAATTATGTCATAGTTCTGAATCGTACATAATTATTTGTTTGTATTGATAAACTTCACTTTTCTGGTTCTTATGTGAATTCATTGGCTACTTAGCTGTCCCAAATTTAATCTCCCAGCGTAATTGTTTCTCTTCCTTCCAATTGTCAGAAAAAAGGAAGTCACCACTGCAACGTGCATCTTTTGAATATCTCAGGGGAAAAATACTTGATGTGTTTCCTGATTACAGGAAAGAAGCAGAAGATCATCTGTCAAAAGCTGTATGTAATGATTAATAGTCTTCTGGAGTTTATTGCAAAAAATTTTACTCATAGAATTCATTTCAATTCAGAGTTGATTTTGATTCTCCAGGTAAAATTAAATCCATCTCTTGGTGATGCTTGGTTATGCCTTGGTAATTGCATTTGGAAGAAGGGAGACCTTCCTTCGGCAAAAAACTGCTTTTCTCTAGCCCTGAGCAAGGTAGAAATGCCCCAATAAAATCTTCATTGTACAAATTTATCATTTTTCTCTGAAATATTTGGCATGCCAGCATTTTTCTGAGGAAATAATAGAATAAGATTGATCTGATCAATGCATTTTGTATAATGCAGGGGCCAAACAAGAATATACTGTGTCAGTTGTCAATGCTTGAACGAAAACTGGCTCAAGGCAATAATCATATCCCTTAGATTAGTCCTTCTAAATCTTATGGGTCAATGATGCATTGATTTCATGTCCATGTTGTATCGACTGGTTGAGCATGGGAAGGCATATATATATATACACACACTCTTTACTTTCACCTTCAAGCTGAATGACTTTTGATGGTTAGGGGCCAATTCACGTTGACCAATGTAACCAGGTTGTTTATATCAAATTAAGTGATCTGATGCTAACAATGTCATTGGCAGTTTGTTCTGTTGTCCGGGGAGACGGCCATTCTGTTTCAGATGTTTTTAAGCTAGGCCCATAAATGTATTCTTAAGCTTCTCTTTTTAGATCCTGATCTTTTTGGATTTTTTATTTGTCCTTAATTCATAGACTCCGAAAGCCAGGCCGAAGGAGTTGAAGAAAGCGTCTGTCTTGCTAAGAAAGCTATAGTCTTGGATGTTAAGGATGGAAATTCTTGGTGTAAGTTATTTATTGTTCTACCACATGATTCAAAATTGTACCTCTATTTTTCCTGTAATACTATGTAATATCTCTTCTTCTGCTGAGCTTGTCTTTTAATGTTGAGGGTGGTGGTTTTGTCTCTTTTTGTCATCTATACCCATACTGGAAATCTGTTGACACTCGAAATTTATCATTTTCTATGCATTTATTTGAGTATATCAATAGATTGCCTAGGAAGTGCTTGTCTCACCAGCCTTTTCGTGTTTTATGCTTTTTTTTTTGCGACGTCAACAGATTGCTTGGGAAATGCTTGTCTTACTAGCTTCTTCGTGCATGGAGGATGGGATTACAACAAACTTTTGCAAGCATTGAAGGCATATCAGAACGCTGTAAGAGTGTGCTCAAAATTTTCACAATAACCTGGACATATTTAAGAATAAACCTAGTTTCTTGTGTGTATGAGTCATCTTAATGGTTACAAAGAAGATATCTACGTTTCACGTTGCTTGAGAAAAATATAAAAATCATCTGTTTCTTTCTAGTTGAGCTAATTTTCAGTGGTTAATTATTTCAGGAAAAGGATGACAAAATGAAGCATTGTCCAGATCTCTATTTCAACTGTGCCACTGTGAGTTTTTTATTTTCATAATATACATGAACTGTTATAGAAATAAGATCTGCTATGCAATTGGATGTGAAGTGCAGGTTCAAATGGCTGCAGGAGAATTAGAATAATTAACCACGTAATTAATTTCAGGCCAATAAATATCTAGAAAATTATCAAAGGGCTCTTACTGGATTTGAAGCTGCTGCTCTGAAGGATCCAGGGCTGAATGCTTATGAAGAAGTTCGAAAAATAGTTAATGTGCTCGACAAACTTGAAAGTTCCATGAAGGTAATACATGTGCGCCTTCTATACAAACATGTCAAACATTTTATTTTTTTAACCCTGTACGTTTTTAATTCTACTTTTCATCAAAAGAATACAGTTATTAGGAAAATAACGAGGGAAGCTCTTTCGTGAATTTCCTTAAGAATCTGGGACAGCATAAATGTCATGACCTCTAATGGAGTATCCATTAAAGAATGTAAACTCTCTTTTCGTTCTATTAAGAGTTATAATCCTTTTTTCATAGTACTTTAGCCGATTTTCTTCTCTGCTGATGTGTCATCTGATTTCTCTGAGCTAAAGTCGGTTGGATGCCTGGATTTCTTTCTAAACACCTTCTGAGATTCATGGTGAGGGTTGACCATGTCAACATAGTAGCTAGAGTCAGAAAGTTGAGAATGCTGTGTTGTCTGGCATAGCAATTTGAGTTGATATGTGAAAGTCTATGCTCCAACTCCCTTGAAACAATAGATTATCACTAAAATGCTTCAATTCTGCAAATTACCTGATCAGAACTATTAAGAAACTTATCCAACTCAAATGAGGAAACTGAGTTACCACTGCAGAAAATCATGTTTTGGTGAAAAGTGATGTTGAATTGTGTATGTGGTGGTGTCACATTTGATTTAAGGTACTGTATATTTTCTATTTGAATTGATAAATATCTATTTTTCAACAAATGTATGGCACTGTATGCTTATATATGTTCATGGACATTTCATCTTCACCAATTTGTTTGTAGGGTATAAAACTTTTGCTTCCAAGCTTTGGGCACATTCTCACTGAATGTGGGCATTTTGATACTTTTAAAACTGCACAATAGATCGGCCCATTTTGATCATTTTTCCTAGAACCCTTTGCTTATTCCCAATCAACTGGATGCAAATATTTTCCATAGGTCTGAAATTTACAAATGGTTAGGAATCATGTTTTCTCATACTTTTGTGTTGTTGCCTTGTCTTGATATGACTTGATCAATAGTTCGCCTAATTCATGGATGAAACAACTTCAACTGCACTATACTAGTATATCCAAGTTGACCCTTTTTAAGAAAACCATGCCAACCGAATCAACTATGTAGGTGTTCTAAGACCTTAAATGTGCACTAAATTACACCAAACCAAGCGTTGCATTATCTCCTATGCGATAGATCTTATAGATATTAAAGGTTTTAATTTACCATGGAAGTCAATTCAAGAATACCAAGGCAATAGAAGAAAGATCCCAATCGGGGAGTGGTAAATTATCTCACTTTCTAAGTTTAGTGTAGAAACAAAAAAATTATGTAAATAAGAAATCACACAAGTCACCAAGATTTTATATTAGTCCAGCCTGACCCAAGACTTGCTTTAGCCTCTTTTTTAGCGGAACAAAAAGATGTTTTAAAAATATTTGAATCAATTTATCAGGTTCAACTGATATAATGGGCATCTCTTGGCAAAGTCAAGGTTTAAACCATACAGAGAAAATAGATCCAACCAAGCCAGAATTTTTTTCTGACTAAGTTTTCTGAACTGTAATTTTGATTATTCTACTGTAATTGATTTCTCATAGTAAAACGTATGAGTGAAAAAAAAACTCAATCATCGAGAAAGATAAGAATCCATCATCAAGTCTTCTATAATGGTTGAACTGTTATGCCTCTAGGCTTACACGCCTGAATAATGTAGAAACAAAGAATCAAAAAAGCAAGAGCACCGGAATTGACTAATGAAAACTCAGGATTTTAGAAGAGTCAATTATGTCCAAATGAACTTGTTTTGTTTTGAGTACCTTTTTTATTTGGCTTTGAGGATTTGTGATATTTTAGTTGAACAGGATTAACCCAGCTGTTTGACGCCATCAGAAGGATTGCCTTTTACTTTTCTCTCTTGTAGTTCATGAAGATACTCGCTTTCATATTTTTTATGAGCACCCCCTTAATATCTCTATGGAGTTTTTGATGATTTAAACAGTTAGTCTTTTTCGAGGTTTCAGGGTAGACGTATAAGAGAAAATTTCAGTATTTGTGTTATATTTCATTTTTAGTTTTTATAATTAGGTTCATTGAAAAATAAAAATGTTACGAACACCATTTTTTAGGTCCAAGCCAAGACAAAACACATGGCTTCGCTGTCATCATCGTTTGGAGAGGTTTCTAGTATGGATCCAGACAAGCTTTCTACATTTTGTTGAGTGGGGAGGTGCCTTAGATTTTTTAAATAATGACTGCGTCTTCGTTCTTTACAGTGAATTCATCTCACAGGAGGGCCAATATAAAAGTCCTAGCAGAAGGTCGAAATAAAATGGTGGCAGTTGTGGGAAGGGTTTTACTCTTCTTGAAGCATGATGATATACCTCCATTGTAAGTCCTGTCTCTTGGTTTTACAACAATTTGTGATTCACAGATCACGATGATAATTAGTAATTCTGCCTGCATACAGCCAGTTGTGTTTTTGAAGCATATTGCTGTATTATACATCAGGGACAACCTGATCTAATAGAATTACGATTCACCATTTTAATTTGCCCTCGCACCTGCAGGTATTACATAATGTGTGATTCAGAGCAGACTCGTTTTGTCCTCTCAGTATATGGGCTACACAGTGACGCCGTAAGAATTGTTTTTAATGAAGCTCCAAGAGTGCTTTATTTTTTTTGTTCCACCGTATACATACTATTACTTACTTTTTCACTGGTTGAGAAAGTTTTTTGTTCTAGCCTTAGAATTTAAATAAAGAAGGGAATGTTTTCTGTTTCTTTTATGACTCTGGATATATGGGCTAGTGCTTAATTGTTTACGTCAAGGCCAAGCTCAATATAATAATGTATCTTGGAAAAGATAATTTCCTTGTGGCTTTGGTAGAGCCTTATTTGGCTCCTGTGCTGCTTTCATGAAAATAAAAAATATATGTATGTGTATGTATATTGGCTTCCATGTGTGACTTTCCGTTCCAATTTTTTTGTTACTTTATTAAATTTCTTTGGGATTATGTTAGAGAATTTTCCACGAGTCGAACATTGTCATGCATGCTGCATTATTATCATTGTTACTTCGTGATGTCTCTATTCTCATTGAACATCTTCCGAATTTCTTTTTGGCTTCTTTCTTACATGCATTTAGGATCATTGCATTAATTGTGCTGTGCTTTATACAGAAACGTTTTGTAGCTCAGTGCTGTTGCTAACAACTGAGGACTCCTTTTTCTTTGCCATTTAAGTGCATTTCATAGGATGATTTCGAAGAGTTTCCCTTATTGCAGTTGAAAGAAGGGGACTGTGTGACTTTGCTTGAACCATATCACCAGGCAGTCGATTTTTCTTGGAAGAACAAGGTACAATATCATTTGTTCTTGTGTTTTCTTCATGTTTTCCCTTCTAAAAAATTTTATAATCACACACGGGCTTGCATTTTTTCTTCTTATAGTATTTTGCATTGAAAACGAGCATGGTTCATATTTTTTCATCAGTAGCGTATTCTTTGTACGTTAATGAAAACAGCATTACAAATTCAATTCGATACGTGTGGACTTCATGGAGCAGCTACTTGTGAATGGCAAAGCTCCATCGGCTCATCATGCTGTCCAGTCTTTCATTCATGCTCAACATAAACCTTGACGAACCATCAAAATATTGGTTCTCCTATTGTCTTTAAACTTCGAACTGGTGCCATTTTCTTGGAGCACAAGTTATGTAAGCAGCAAAGCGTAGTAAAGATTTACTTTGAGTGGTGTTTTCTTCACTTTACTCGGTTTCCCATTGTAGAAAAGGCGCATATTATCCTTGTTTAATTGTCTCAGTTTCTGTAGCTTCAAGCCACAGATTTTTCTTGAAGTTGTGTGAATCTGAATCAGTTTTCTAACACCCGGGATTGACAGATCAATTAGGATCAATTAAAGGGGGACTTTTGATGCATCTCTATGGTTTGACTAGGAGCATATTTCTTATAATCTTTCTAGTCGCCTGCTACAAGTTATCACAATATTCCATAAATATGGATAATCTTTGAGTGGTGAATTAATACAGAGTCGTAAAAGCTGCTTTGCCACACTGAGGTGTTCCATCGTGCTTTGAAATAGCCGAATGTGTGAGCTGGGAGGAACCAAACGGCATTGAAGCTGTAAAACTAGCCCGGTTTGAGATCCTCTCTGTCACCCATTGACTTTTTCTTTGTCGAAACCCCCATACTGCTCGGGCAAGGCAAGAAAAGGCGAGAGGTATCAACAAATAATGAATATAATTATAACCATTGCTGGGTTTTATGTGATCTGGCCTTGTTTTCAATTGTCATGTAGAGTTCTGCCGTTGGCGATATAAGTCACAGTACAATTGTTAAAATTTGCTGAAGACTGCACATTCTGATTCTGCGTGTGTGAAATCCGCACTGAATGATTGCCCAGTTCTTCCATTTGATTGCAAGAACTGAACCCCGAAACCTAGCATTAGCCTTGTGCAGTCTTTAGGATCAGGTCATCAAAAGAGCTATCTGGTTGATCTGGAGATGCAGCTACAATCTCCATGTAACTCGTCAAACTGAATTATTAACTAGCAGATTTGATATATTTTTCAAGTGACATGTGTCGAGGAAATGTGTATAGCCTAATCAGAGCCTTAATAGCAAAGTGAGACTTTGTATCCTGATTCCCAAATTTCATGAAGTGTTTCTTTATTCAAAGTTTCAGGAAGTGGACAGATTTTATGGCAATGATATGTGTGGGTTGCTGTGAAGTTAGGCTACCAAAGTTTTATCGATTGTTTATTGTGAAGGCATCTTATCAAGGTCCTAGCTGCTACGACTCCAAATGTATCACTTGAGCTCTGTTACAAGTCCCAGAAAATGACGGCTTTTGATATTGTGAATTTGCACCATCTCCACAGATGGTAGAGGACTATGGGGACTAATATTTACCCCAAGAGAGTACTTCTAAGAGAACACAGTAGCATGTGAATGCACTATCTTTCATTGACATTAGTATGAGCTAAATCCAAGGTTCTCACTATTTATTTAAATATGAGATTTTGAGTAAATCCTTATGACATAACTTACATGGTTCGTTTAAGGTTAAATATAGTGTTGATCTTCTCATGATGGGAAACAAGAGATACTCTTACATAAATAGTCAAATAGTGGAATTATACAAAGTGATTGGGATCTATACTGATAACACTAGCTTTGAAGCTTCTTTGTTGTCGAGATGAGTCTCATATACTCTCTAGTATACCTTAAGTTTTTTTAGTGATATGTATGTGTGTCTTGAACCTTCTAGGGGTTTGATATAAATATCATACCCCATTTTTCAAGAGAGTTTTTTCCATTAACGAATAAGAGAATCTTTTTCTCCCCACGGGCATGATGGTTACTTGTTAGCCCACCGGATTACATTCAAAACTTTTACATTGTATCAGAGTGAATCTAAGTGTCATCGTTCCTTTTCTTCCTTCTGCAATAATCTATTCTCCTATAGTTACGGTTCTTGTACTTTTTTCTCCATCTCTATTGATATCTATTGACAGAATTCTAATTTGGTGAATGTGGTCGTTTTCTTGTACTATTTTCTTCGTCTCCATTGAGATTTGTTGACAGAATACTGGATTTGGCGAATTTGGTAGTTCTCTTGAAATGTCAAACGTGGGAGATATTTCTTCATCCTCTGTGGGAGATCTTCCTTCCACAAGAGTTTCTTACCTTGGTCTCAGTGCTCTGCAATTACTAGAACTCCTTGTGATGCATGAGAAGTTCAGATTAACTAGATATAATTTGATCCACCAGTCATAATATATTCAAGAGGTTCTGACTAGGAGAGCAATGTTACATCATTTGGTAAAAGGAAACCATATCCCTAGTTTGATAAATACTGTAAACGAAGAGAGGAGGATGTAATCAAGACTTGGATCTAGAGAATGATGATTCTCCAAATTAGTCAAGATTTTTTCTTCTTAGAGATTTGTGGGAAATAATTCAGACAAAATTTTCACAAAAGAATAATGAGGCTCATATATACAAACTAGAGACAAAATCTACATCTATAATGCAAAGAAATAAATTTTTGATGGAATATGCTGAGGAATTGAAAGCTTTATGACAAGAACTTGAATATTACATTAGCCTTGACACAGAAAAAGCCAAGGAGATTGCTATTCTACAAAATTTCATAGAATGAAGAAGAATCTTTAAATTTCTTACAAAACTCTATTTTTGATCATGTTAGACAATAGATGTTTAGGTATGAAAGAGAATATGATCTAAATGAGACTATTTTAATTGTTTTGAATGAGGAGAGGCATTGAAAATTAATGTTAATAGTGCCTAAAATTGATAAAGTTGCATTTATGATTAAATAGGGCAAAAATATAAAGAAAACCACAAATAAAATTTGACATCCTCAACTTAGTCAAAGAAAAAAAATAATTAATTTAATTTATAGGATAACTTGTGGCACACATATTATAGAAAACCTTGTCACATTAGAGATAGGTGTTAAAAATTTCATGATAGGCCACAAAGTTTCAACATTGAAAGGTATGGAAGTTAAGCACATAATATCTATAAAAAGCCTATCCTTTTTTTAAATTGATGAGATATAATGACTTTGAGGTGAAGTAAAAAAATTGAAGTCAATAGTGACACAACACTCATTTGTTCAGCTAAATAAATTTCATTACTCTCTTAGAATTGGGGTCCCTACTAGAGATATTTCTAATACTTGGGCAGTAAACTTAGGAGAAATGAACCATATGACAAATTCTTCTTATCCTTTTAATAAAGATAATCATTGTCATAGTGACCAAGAAATATATATTGTAAATGAATCCTTTCTTATGGATAGATCCTTAAACTTGTACCCCTTGGAATCCTTTCTAATATCCTCTGTCCCAAAATTATTTACAAATGTCATCTATGTCAAGAAACTTGTGAAAGGTTCATCATATTGTGCTTATTTTGATGAAGATATTTGTGTGATATTTGATGTGGTACAAAGTTAGAGGATTAGAGTTGTTAGAGAATGTGGAAGACTCTATCTTCTAAGTAGACTAAGCCAAACATACCTAGTGGAAGGAGATCAACAATTAGAGCCTTCAGATTTTTTCTTTAAAATTTGGCTATTCCAACAAAGAACAGCCCATTCTTCCTTCAATACTTTGAAAATATTTCTTCTTGCTTTCTTTTCAAAGGTGTCCTTATGCACCTTTAAGTGTGATATGTGTGAATTATCTAACACATTTATGCTTCCTTTCAAACTCAAGGAGAAAAGAGTGAAATTCTTTTCTTTTGTATTCATAATGCCATATGGGATCATGTCCCATTAATGACATTCGTGGAAATAAGTAATTTGTCATCTTTATAGATAATTGTACGTAGTATATGTGGGTGTTTCTTTTAAAATAGAAGTCTGATGTGTGTGAAAATTTATTTTTTTATATTATAATTAAAAATTATTTTTGCACCAATATAAAGAAATTCAAATCCAATAATGCTAAAGAATACTTTAACCAAAGTTTGAATTCTTATTTTCAATCAAAGGGTATTATGCATGAATCCTCTTGTGTATATACTTCACAATAAAATGACAGCTGAGATGAAAAATTGACCTCTTTTAGAGGTAACTCAATTGATTTTATTTTAGAATAATGTGCCAAAAATTTTCTAGGGTGAGGTTGTCTTAACAGCTACAATTCCCATTAATTGATTGCCCTCTAGAATATTAGGCTTCTATCCTCCTTTAAATATGTTGGTAGTTCACTTTCCACATTGTCAAATTAAAACCGTGTTAGAACCTAGGATATTTGGTTGCATTTCCTTTGTTCATCATCACAATCAAACCAAAGGAAAACTAGAACCATGATCACTTAAATGCATAGTCATTGAGTATGCTAATAATCAGAAAGGGTGCATATATTATCATCCTCTCACTCATAAATTCTTTATATTAATGGATGTGACATTTCATAGATCAGAAATTTATTTAAAAAATTCTTCATCCAATGATCAAAATTTATTTTTTACAAATCATATTGATCATCATGTAGATCATTCAATTTCGTCGTCCTTAGGTAATTTTTTTATTCTCATTTAAGTCCCTAAAATTTCTTATTCTATTCTAGATCTGCTTCTTGAGAAACTCAGATTTGACAAAGGCTACTCTAGAAGAGAAATTCAAGACTTGACAAAAATCCAAGATTATGATTCAGCCTTGGAAAATATCCAAAATTCTACATCTATTACATATGATGATTATGATATTTTAGATTGCAATTCACTTTCCATCTCCTTGAGAAAATCAATATAAGATTGCACCAAGAAACTTTTGTCCCTATCAGCCAATTTTTTATTCTAACAAAGACTCTCCACCCTATTGATCATTCCTTGTCTCTTTAGACACTATTATAATTCCAAAAAATGTCTCTGAGTTTCTATTTAATAAGGGAGTGTAAACAAGCTATGGATGATGAAATGAGAGGCCTAGAAAAAAATTAGACTTCAGATCCAATAGAATTACTAGTAGATACAAGTTACTATGATAAAGTTGAATTTATTGCACTTATTGAAAGTGTATGCAAGTTACTTTGGGTGAGGAAATTACTTAATAAGATAAAAATCTACCTAACTAATCCTATGAAGCTTTATTGTGGTAATAAGTTGTAATTAATTTTGTGCATAATCTAGTATAGTTTGATTGTACCAAACTTGTGGGGGTTGATCATCATTTATCAAAAAAGCCTTGAAACAAATTTGATTTATATGTCATACATCTCAACACATAATCAACTAGTAAGTATGTTTCCTAAAGACATCTTCAGCACACAACTATAGAAGATTGTTCCCAAGCTAGGAATGAATGACAGCCAATCACCAGCTTGAGGGGGGTGTTGTCATGATGTGTCTAATATACTATCTAGTATACCTTAAGTTTTTCGTTACATGTTGGTGTATAGAACCTCCCAAGGGTCTGATATAAATACCAGACCCCTACTTCCTCTAGAAAAGATTTCTTTTTCTTTTAACGAATAAAATATAATATTTTCTCCATAGGTGCTATGGTTACCTATTAATGCACTAGATTATATTCAAATCTTCTATACCTAAAAAAAGAAGATTGGTATATAAGCTACAGGTGAATGTGAGTAGTTGTATCATACTTATAGAAAAAAAAAGAGAAAGGTTAAATAGAATAATGATTGCGCCACTTCTAGTAAACTTCATGGAGATCAAGGCAGCATACATTGCAAGAACAAATTTCTTACCATAATTATAACAATTTATGGAACTCGGACGGATCAATGACCATCTACTTGTAATAAAACTTAAAATGCCTTTAGAACAATAGTCTCAAACTAAAAAAACCAGGTAAACAAAGTTAAATGATCAGGGATCGGAAGTGTACTTTTATAGGACACTTCTTTCATTTCAAAGATTATGCAATGACAGAAGAAGTTTGCAAATTCTTCTCTTTTACTCGTCCACTACATGAGAATCCTTTCATTTCAAAAATCTTGCATGAAAGGAACATCTTGCCCCTAAAAATGAAATTTACAACCTCTCGATTACATGGCTGTTATTCTCTCCGGTGCTTCAGCAGAGAAGACCAGCGCCAGGTACATCAGCAGAGAAGACCAAACCTCAGCTACAGGGTGATGATGTTCAAGAGTTCCTCAAACGCACAACTTGGAAAAAAAGAATCACATGGCTGCAAAGAGCCCAAGTGGCTAAAGGATTTCAGAAATTCTTCAGTATCTTATCTTTGGACACTCCATCTGCCACAAGCGCAGAGGTAACATCCTGCCACAACATGAAAGAGGACTAAAATTAGCAAGTACCTCCAAATGTAGGAATCTGAAAACCGTCAGAAAAAAGGTGGAAATGATTTAGGCTTCACAGACAGATGAAAGAAAGGCTTGCATCTTTTGCACGTGCAAGTGAATGCCATTATATTCTGATAGCAAGCAGGTGCTCTGATAAGAGACTGAATTTTACTTTATGTAAATGAGCTTTTTCTATGGTGATGCAATTTATTAATTTTAACATTGAAAGTTGCCCTCACATGACAGCCAAATAAATTGATCCATGCGGTACCAAAACCAAGGGAGAAAGCCCACAATATTATAAACAACCCAGGGAAAATTTAGTAAAATAAAGTCTTGTTCAGTCTGAGAGTGAACAAACCTCCATCATTTGATTATGCCCACAAAGAACTGCTCCAGTGAAAGAAGGATTCAGGATTTGTTTGACTCTGGAGAAAACTGCCTGTAAGAGAATTATTTTAGATGAGACCAAAAAGAAAAGGTGCATACGAAGTAAAAATATCAAAAAGAGCAAAAGGACAACCTGCACATAGCCCCGCTCACCACTCCATTTATCATCTGGCTGTGATAATACAGGTACAATTCTAACACCAGATGATTCCCAATCCCTGAATCTATCCTGGAGGAGGAAAGACAATTAAATGTGAATAAAATTCAGACCATGGTTTACACACCATTTTAATCATGAAAAAGAAAAAAAATTCAAACCTGATAAGCCATTCTCTGAAGGTTCCTTGCACCATAAAAGAGCTTCACATCTGATCTTTTATCAGCACTGAAGCCCGATTCGATGAGTGAACGAATTGGACTGTTCAAATAGAAACGAACAAGATTTGAGAAATATTTTTTAAAATGAAACCATCTTGTTTCTGAGATATATTGCTCAATGGGAAACTGGACAAGAATTTTCGTAAAAAAATCAGAAACGTAAGTTTGATATTGGGAATTCATTAAAAACTAAATTCTGCAGAAGAAGTATATTATTTAACCTGGAAACCGATACTTTTAGTGAAATACATACCTACCCGCCCAAGGAAAAGAAATAATGCTTATGCATATATCTAATCGTTCCTTCTTACTATGAAGAAGTGACCAGACAATAGTTAAGGGGTTTTCAATGACGGGAACTGTGTAAAACAAATGCATGATGATTAAGAAAACTTCTCTCCACTGCTAGACATGAATATTCGTATATTTGATCGGCAATAAGAATTTATCCCTAAACATTATGCACGGTTATAAAGCCCTTCTTGAGATATAATCAAACTTCTCAAAAGAATAATTATTAAGAGTGTATTCTTGTTATGCCTAATAGTGGAGATGATGATGATCATGATAGTGAAAGTTAGAGTGGACAATATTGAGCGGAGAAGTCATCACAAATTCTAACAAAATTGGCTCAAAATATATATTCATGTCAAGGTGAGATACAGAGTCACATAACAAACATGAAAGGTTTCTTTAGCACAATGCGGGTGGATAGTCATATTCTTTCAAAGATAAGAATGCAGCATTTCATCTTGAACACTATAGTTAAAATAAGAGCTTTATGAGAGTTTTCTCTTATCCAGAGGCTGCATATAGCTTGAACAAAAGGTCAAACAACGTGAACCCCAGTAGCAGACTCAGCCATATCATGCATGGTGACTGCTTGTATCATCCTTCATTGAATTTTCAAATGCTTTCTTTAAGACAGTTGGCTGATGTTCGGAGGAAATACACTGAAAGAGAATAGGGCAGACAGCTGTCACTCAGCAAGAGAAGGGTCACTGTCCATCAACCACAGGCGGTCAATTTTATTTCCAAAATCTCCACAGGTACGTTTTCCCCTTCATTCCTACTGCATATGGTCTTAATGCCATGTACCCAAATTTCCATGTATGTCACCATATGTATACATAATACAATAAATGAGTGAAGATTGCTTTATAAAATGTTATCATTCAATCTCTTGTCCTTGCATCTTGTCCTTAGAATCGATTTTGACGTTCATCTCCTTGGCAGAAGGCACGAACTGATTACATTAGAAGCATAAACAAGTGAGGAAGATGAAAACAAATAGATGAACGAATGATGGGAGAGAGGTCATTAAGATACCGGTGGTAATGGTAATGGAGGATTTCAAGCCCACAGTGGGAAAAGGTTTCACATCCGTGATGAAATTTAGAAGCACCATTGATCGCTGGCTAACATTTCGTATTCGAATAAGAAATTATCTAGTTTGGCACAGCTATTCCAGCCGATCGGTCGTCGCTAGACTCCGTCATTGTTTCTGATTAATTCTCAAGGACTACTTGGGAATTAAGTGGCTCCATGAAGTTTTGGAAAGCAAGAGTACGATCTCCTACCTGATCCCAGATCCGGTGGCGAAGATGAACACGGTGGAAACCGCCTCCGGCGGCGAGAACTGATCGACGTCGAAACCCTTGCCCATGACCGCGCTGAGCTCCACAACATCGCCGCTCCGCATCTCGCACAGCAGCTCGGCTGTAGAGCCCGGCACTTTCTTGATGAGAAATTCGAACACCCCCTTCGATGAAGCGGTCGACGGCGGCGATGCGATGGCCAGGAACGCCGGCTTCGGGGCCTCCGGCACCCGCAGCTGGAGGTACTGCCCGGGGACGGTGAAGGATCCCGCGAGGTCCGGGCTGTCGGAGACGTCGATGCTGACGTGGAACAGCGTGCCGTCGCCGGCGGCCGGGTGGACGACCGTCAGAGGAGCCTGCGTCCAGGTGATTGAGTCCTGGCGGACGGCGGCGACGACAGCGAGAGAAGAGAGGCTGCGGCGGAGACGGGGGACGGCGAGGCGGCGGAGGCTGGGGAACACGGACATGGGACGGGACAAGGAAGAAGAGAAGGAGAAGGAAGATGAAGGGCTAGGAAGAGGAGAAGCATGGAGAGGCCGGAGGAGAGGACTGGGGGAGGAAAGGGCTGCTGCTGCGGCGGCGGCGGCGGCGGCCATTTCTCCGCGTGTTCCGGTCAACTGGTTTAATGGCTTACGCTGTACCTGGAGCTCAGCGTAACGGACTTTCGGCGAAGGCCCGGGCTTGATAAACCCAAACTCTCAGACAAGGTGCGGCACAGATGAGGCACCAAGTCTGTGTGGCTCGTATGGGCTGCTGGTTAAAGCCTTTTACCTAATTTTTTTTAAGTAAACGAAATAATTTTAAATTTTATATATAATTTTTTTCTACTTTTTTTGCTAATGTTTTGAACGGCTAATTTTTATTTTACTTAAAAAAATATTCTTTTTAAAGTAAATCATGCATTTCCATAGTAAATGAACTAATAATAAAATAATTAAGTAATACAAAATAATTAACTCTAGTTGTCTTTATTTTTATAATAATAGTATGATTTAACTTCCCTTTCTACTAAAATCCTGCACATTTCTCCAATCCTATTATAAATTATATAGAACTAATATATGCATAGATATATACTAAAACTAATCAATTTATTCATATTATGATTACTACATATTTATTGTAAGGCTTCATGCATCAAATATTATAATTGATCTATAGTGGGTAGGGGCCATATTTGTATGCTGCTCCACAAGGAATTCTATTGAAATGTTTTTAAAAAGGGAATATAAGATGTAATGTAATCAAACATGTGCAGTTTTTATATTTAGCTAAGAAATTGACAATATGGTTCAATATTTTACATGTAAAAACTTTAATCACTCAAGATACAATCAGTATACTAGTTGATAGGGACCTAGTTGGATTTTGCTAAATTATATTCACTTTGTTTTATGCTTAGTAATGATGAATAGCTAGATGTAGAGAAGGCATGGTACCATAAGTACTAGATATGACAAAAGGAAATAGGGTCTTGGGTAGTTCAATTATCAGGATCATCACCATCCTATTAAGTGTCATCTTAGCTGAGGAGAGATACATTGTATTATGCAGTATCATGGCCTACTTGGCCCAATTATCACATTTAGATCAACAATATATGATACATTAACTCATTTTAATATAACCCAAAATACCAAAAAGTAGTAGAAGCCCAAAACTAGAGGCTTAGTCACTTCAAAATTGGGTTATAATAAGGATAATATTAAAAGAGGGCCCAAAACCTTATTGGGTCAAACTAAAGTACAAGAAAACTAAGTCATACCTAATTTGTTGGACAAAGTTTATTTCTATTTCTTTTTTTAGTCTCTTTCTTCTATCTCTAATATATCAAAATCTATGTTGATTCTATTTCAAAGTTTATTTACTTTTGGGGTTGCCCACTTCTTTTTTAGGCTTATAAAAAGGTTCCCACATGTAACCTCAAGGCTTCTATGAAGTATTATAAGTTTTTCTTATTTTGATGTTATTCTTTCTCTATTTGTCGATTCAAGCACCCTATGTAGATTCAAGGGTTGAAGTTACCAATTCACTTGGTTCAGATCTTGCTTTCTTTACCTAAGTTTGTGCTTTGTGAACTCAAGACTGAATGCTATTAACTCTTACGTTTGGTTAACTTTGTTATTGGTATCATTTAGGGTTGGTTTCACTACATATTAAGTTATGAGATCCGTCTCAGTTTATGGTATTAGATCAGACTGGTTCCCATCTCTTGAAACCTTTTCTTGGGTAAACTTGATTGTCAAACTCCGCCAATGTGGATGATCCTACATGTTGCCATTAGATTTGTCTCCTACATCTACATCAATCCCTTCACAAGTAACACTAGGTTTTCTGGAGGTTATTTTAATTTTACGAGGATCACTAAAAGATACTCTTTTATCTTTATCTCTAGTATTAAGGAGATCATCAACTATCATATTTAGGGCAGGTTGCCATTTAACATGAGAGTCTCTTGCCACTGTGCTCAAGGTTACCTTTCAAAAAGCATGAGAGCACTTGTTTTTTATCATGTTCAGCTTCATCAATCACCAAGCATTAGATCATGAAACACATGTTGCAAACAAGTGTGCTCAATATGTTTGTTGTGAAGTATGGTGTGTCTTGTTGCTATCCACTAGTAGAACCTTGTGGCTTGCTGAAATTCACTAGACAAGAAAAAATTAATAAGGGAAAGATAAGATAGATTAATACTTTTCATCTAATGCCTTCATCTATATTCCTATCCACCATCTACAAATAAATTTAATAGGAGGTGAATCTACATCTTCTAATTTGAACCTACAAATGACATCCACAAAATAGATAGAGCACAATTTTACAACATGGGCTGTGACAACTAAACTATATATTGGATCTTGAGACAAAATTGAATATATTTGCAGTTTTACCTAATTAATTAAATATTACAAATCCAAAGTATAAAGTTTGATTTCATAAAAATAACAGTCATGTTATGGATTTTGAATTTGATAAGGCCTTAAATTCTTTACATTATTTTGTACAAACATATAGCTAATGATACATGGAAAATGCTAGAAGAAATATATGACCATCAACTAGTCATTGTGAGATGCTATCAACGAAGCCAGAACATGAACTCAAATAGGGATAGTAACTATCATAAATTATTGGACAACATTAAAAAGTTGATTGATCAAAAATTGTTGTTATTAAGATCATCAATCTTACATTTATAAACTGATTTTTAGAGGTTAGTTTTATTAGAAAATTAGTGAAAAACTAAGTCGAACTCAGAGAGGATTTGAAATCATGACATCTGCTCCAGTACTTTGTTAATTCTAGTAGTGATGTTCACTATATGCTTCATCAAGGAGGACGAATTCAGCCAATGCTGATTTATGTTGCCCAATAATCTTCATGAATCACAAAAGCCACATATTAAATCAGATCCTTCAATGAATTGATAGAATCAATTCTTTGAACTGGAAAAAGGCGTAGGACTCATGAAAATAGAAATTACATTAAACTGAAATCAGAATTTTCTTACAACATGAGAAGTAAAATGAAAATAGAAATAAACTTCTAACTAAACTTCTAACTACTCCCTCTTAATCTGACATCCGTGGGGAGAAACAACGCCACACACAGGTGGAAAGCTTGATGGACCTTGGCCTGCTGTGCCAACAAGGGTGGTCTTCACAGCTTGGTTGCTCCATGGCTTCTTGTGCGAAGACCTTGAGCGACTTTCAACTTGAATCCACTAGTTGTGTCACTCATCAGTGAGAAGGGGGAGGAGATGATGGAGGTCCATCGAGCTTGTAGGTGGCACCAAAAAGGGAGGGATGAGATGGCCAGCTCAAGATAGGAACTGCACCTTGTGTTGAGAGGGGAGAGAAATCAAAAAGTCCCCACAAATGTCATGCCCTCTTTTGCTTAATACATCAATTCATTTCTACTTTCCATATTTGCCCCTGCAACCATGGATATTAACAACCAAGTATATAAGTATTAAAGAAAGAATTATGAAATTAAATTCATACCAGATTTTGAAAGATAAAAATAGAGGGCAACCACTGATCACCTAACATTGTATTGCACATAAGTATTAATGTATTTGTGTCATTTTCGTGCATACTTTATGCTCTATTATTGAATTTGCACTTGTGGTGATAATAATCTAGCAAGTTATCAAAAGCCTATGAAATGAGTTAAATTCTTCTCATACAGGGGACTGGTCATGTATAGAGATAAAAAATGACATATGAGATATCTCCAAAAATATAGAATCTTCAAGTTTCTTATAGGCCTAAACAATCAATTTGAAGTATTAAGAGGTTAAATTGTAAACTTGAACCCTATTCTGTCACTTGAACAAGTGTATTATAAGGTGTTGAGTGAACAAAGGAGAAGATTATTGTTGAATAATCCCAAGTCTATAAATTCTGAAGTGAGGGGCACTCAACTTTAATTAGCCTTGGAAGTAGAACGAAAACAATCAAAGGCTAAGGACAAGGTAAAAACTATTAAGCTAAATGCTCACTTAATCTTATCTCTAGCATTTCTTGTCCCTTCTATTCATATAAACCTTCCTTTTGTAAGGTTCATCACAATTTAATAACCTTCCATTTTGATTAGCATATTTTTAGAATTTAAAGTCAAAGCAAATGATTGTTAATGGTCATGAATAGATATTATGTTTCTTCTCGATCAGTCATATTACCTTGCTGGATGGATATCAATTTTTTTGTATTGATGATTTCACCCATTCAACATGGATATGCTTGAAAAAATTGAGACAAGTTCTCATAAAATATTTTGCAACATGATGAAAATCAAGTTCACAAATGTGTGAAAATGTTATGATTTGATAATGCCAAATAGTAATTTGAATGAAATCTACATAATTTTATGGAAGATGAAGATACCATCTATGAGTCATCTTAGACTTATACTTTACACCACAAATTGTGTGCAAACCAAAAAAAAAACATATCATAGAAACTGCTCACACATTACTCTTTCAATTCCATGTCCAAGGAAATGTTGAGCAAAAGTTGTACAAATGGGAAGAGTTCTCATGGTCATATAACTATCTCTAATTATTCCCTACCAACTTCTTCTTGACATCTTTTTCATAATCATCTCTCATTAGATTTTCTTCATATTGATACCTAATGCCAGTTCACACCTTGACAACCCTAATGCCATTTGTGATTCTAGTGAAAAGCTAACTAATTAAATTGAGCCAATGGAGGTTAGCAAGTTATCGAAAAGGTAGAGACAAAAATGAGGAAATACCAAATTTCAAACCACCATCTCATCAAATTTTTGTGCCTTCAAATTCTAAAGTTGCTTGTAGTTAGAACTCAAAAAATGATATCTTTATTTTAATAAAAAAAATCATTCATTCACAAAGATACTATATATATAAAGTTGTGAAAAACTCAAAAAAAATCCCTCAATACTTCTCATTCTTATCATCTATGGTTTCCACACCCCTACTAAATTTATTTATAATTACAACAAAGGACATTAAGTGAGTAAACAAAATGGAAGAAGAAATGAGAACCCTAGAGAAGAGTAGCACTTAAGAACTAATGGATTTACCAGTTGGAAAATATAAAATTAAATCAAAATAGAGATTTACTATCAAACAGAACTCTAATGGAAAGATTGAACAAGTATTACTAGTCATATTTTATGTGATTTTATGCAAATTATGTAATTTTATGTTTGGCTAATTATGTAATTTTATGTGAATTTATATAAATTTTATAATCATATTTTTGTGATAAAATCAAGAGAAATAAATAATAATAAATGAATAATATACATATAAGGGGGGACCCACTAGTCAACTAGGGCTGCAAAACAAGTCAGAAGCACAATTGAGGAACTCATTGGCCAATTGAACCAGCAAGTAGGTTGAAAAAATAGTCAAGTAGAGTCAATAGTAGGGGGCTCGAGTGGCTAAGGACTAATTTGGGGTATGTGCGTCACTCCCCTTCTACATCACTGATGACCAATCAAGTATGGGACATGAAGTGGTTGTACACACATGAGAAGACTATATTAACCATAGGAACAAGTATTACTATATATTTGTCTCTAAATTCAAAAAATAGCTGATGTGGAACTAGACCTATATTAATGCTCATTGGTAGGTGTTCAATGATTTTAATACCTAAAATACCTCTAGTTTATAAGAAGAAAATATTTCCATGACGTCACTAAATAAGGGTATGTGAGTAATTCACATTCTCTCTCACACACAGCCAAGCAACTAAAACAAGGATTTGAATCCCACCAAAGTCAAAATTTATGTTTTTATTTGATTAAATCACAATTTTCTAGAGAGTGTCAGTCAATGATTAAGTTACTAGAATTACTCAATCATCATGAAAAATGTCATCAACGTGATTCATAGAGCATCATTACCAATTGTCGAATGATTCTAAATAAAAAGATCATAAATCTATCAAGAAAATCATCTCTGATTGATTGATGAACGAGACATCATTAGAAAGAGGAGAATTTGTTGGGAGATAAGTCACCACCTCTTGAAGCTCCTCTTACTACATGAACTTGAGGATAAAACTCCCTAAGATGTGTCCCACCTCTATCTAACATATTTTTGTCAAGAGATAGTTGTTAAAAACCTCTAAGTTGCCATATTTCTATTCTATTAAGTGACAACTGCTAGAGATGATTCTTTGTGCCTACATTATTTATATTTAAAGAGAGTCTTTGAGGCCATAGATATTGCACAATAATCCTCTCGAACATATAAAATTTTGGCGATAGTCATTTTGAGGCCAAAACTCTATCTTTTCTATTTTAAACTTAATTTTACTTTAAATAAGTGATATTTTATGTGATTTTAAATTTTAAAAATTTTATTTATTCAATTATGATTATTTTGTCTTTTACACATCTTCATTTGATCAATTAAATTGTCTGTAATCATTTACATAAGAATTATTGGGTGGAACTCTATTTTTGCTCGATGTGTCATCAAGGTGTTGATGTCATTCTGATGTTCGCACCTAATTTTTTTCTTTTCGTAAATTTTTAAATATATTTTATCTTCATCATCTAGTCTAAAAATATATATAAAATTATAGTATGAAATCTTACGAAATATTAACTTACATCCTTATGATCAACCTAGAAATTTCTCACTATTTTTGGAATATTTTAGCAGATTATAATTTATTTGAGTTGAAATATTTTAATTTTTTTAAAAATTAGTATTTTATGGTTTTATAAATTTTAAATTTATGTGATTTATTATAAATGATTAGGTCATGTCAAGTACCAGAATCAATCTATTGCAAAAGGTTTCACCCAAACTTATGATGTTGATTATGATGAAATATATGTACCTATTGTAAAATATAAGTCAATGTATTATTGACACTAGTTGTAAAAAAAATTTAGAACTTAAGCTAAATGATAAAAAAATATTCTTAAATGGTGACTGAGATGAGGAAGTATACATGCACCCACCTCAATATATTGATATTAAAAGGAAGGTGCACTGTTTAAGAAAAGTACTACATGACCTAAAATAATCTCCCAAGACATTGTGTGGTAAACCCCAACAACTAGTGGTATGATTCTTTTATCAACAATTGATGTAGACCATACTCTTTTTGTTAAGGGAAGGCATAGTTGATGTGTGATTATAATTATTTATGTTAATGATATGATTATTACAAGTGATGATGTACATGAAATATAGACTAACATAAAATTTGACAAAGGAATTCAAAATTAATAAGTTGAGATATTTAACATATTTCAATAGTATTAAAGGTGCAAATGAAGGAAAGGCATGTATGTTTGCCAACTGAAATTCTTAAGTGAAGCATGAAAATTAAGATACAAACCCCAATTGCTGCACCTATAGAAATTAATCAGTATCTAAGTACAACTAATGGTAATGAGCTTTAAGCAAAAACTAAACACTTAGATCAATGAATAAATTGAAATTTATTATACTTCTCATTGGCTATATTAAATCTAACATATGTTATGAGTGTCATTGCCTAATATATATATATGCTCCTTGTATCATCACTTGTAGGTATTAAATCGAATATTATGATATTTAAAGAAATATATTGTTACTTACCAAGTCATAACATTTGTGAATTGATGGATATACTGATGTAGATTAAGTTGAATTGTATGTAGAAGAAGATCAATTACAAGTTATTCTATATTTTCAAGAAGCAAATTTTGATATCTGGAGGAGCAAGAAACAATTAAGTGTCCAAATCTGTTGTACATTGAACTATGTATAGTGTGTTTTGGAAAGACTATCCTTGCACCCATGGAGAAAACTCCAAGTTCAAACAAAAAGAATATTTTCTCTCTATCAAAAGATTGTTAACAACATGGAGGGGTCTGATATTTATACTAGACCCTAGAAGGTTCTAGACACTTACATCTAAAAATAGAATAAAAGGTTTTGTTGACATGACATGTTAGAAGGTGTAAGAGGAAGAAGAGAGTCTTTCAAAATATGTCGACATAATTACAAGTGATATTGATGCATTCCTCATCATATATCTATTATATTCATACCCTCTGGAATTCGTCAATAACTATGTACAGTTATATAGGAACTATTGTTAAATATAAAGGTTATTTCATGTGGGTTATTTCTTTGCAACAGATAGAGAGGTTAAGGTACCTATGTTGAATGGTGTAAACTGCTTAGAATGGAAGGAAGTCTTGATGTTTCAATTGGGCCTGATGGATTTTAATCTTTGTTTTCGAGTGTCTACTCCTACAGCACTTACTAATAAAAGCAATGCAGATGCAAAAATTCTTCATGAAAGATGAAATAGATCCAATAAATTGTCTTTATCATTCATGTTACAATATGTGCCTAGAGATATTAGAGGTCTTGTGACTTCTAACACTCTAGCGACTGTTTACATAGAAATGATTGAATAATAATTTGTTGGGTCTAATAAAGCCAAAGCAAGTGTCTTGATTCAAAAGTTTACTTTCATGTGCTATACAATGAAAAAAAACATATGGGAGTAGATCATGGCCATACGTGACATTAGAGGAAAACTAAATGATCTAAAGATTACTATTCCTGAGACCTTTTTGGTCCATTATATTTTATAAACACTACTAGCAAAATATGACCTTTTTAAGGTCTCCAATAACACACATAAAGATGAATGGTCAATAAATGATCTCATGATCAAGTGTGTTTAGGAGGAAGTAAAAATCTGCAAAATCAAATCTATGTTATCTATCATGTATCCAAGGAGTATTTCAACATTTCATGCTACTAAATCAATCTCTGAACTCAATAATAATCTTCTTAGTATCTTTTGGTATCATTCAATCTAATTGATTTAATTTTTCGTTCATGTAATATGATGTAAGAAATTTATAAGTTAGATAGTTCTAACAATTCTACTTTCTATTTTCAATTCTATT